CAGGGTCTTGAAACGTTTGTCTTCCAACGAGGCATTGCCCTCTGTGTAAATGAAGCCTTGTATGGGGCCTATGAAGAGGGAGCTTGGAGAGAGGGTTTATCCAACACCGTTGGTGGCTCTTGGGTTTAAACTGGTCCTCCTCCTCCTCCTCCTCCTCCTCCTCCTCTTCCTCCTCCAACTCCTCCTCCTCCTCCTCCTCCTCCCCCTCCTCCTCCTCCCCTCCTCCTCATCCTCCTCCTCCCGGTTTCAGGGTGGGCCTGGCCGGGGAGCAGTGGATATGTAGAGATGGTGTCGCCCGACAGAAGAGCCTCCTTATGCGGACGCCCTGCCCCCCTTCCTTGCCGTCGCTCGAAGGTCCACGCCCCGTGCATGTCTTCGGCTCCGTGCGCTTTTCTGTTCGCAAGATGGTCCAAGATGCTCCTTGACTATCCTCGCCGAGAGGAGAAAGAAGAAACAAACAAACATTACCCTGGCGAAGAACCCAACCAGATGCAGTTCGGGGTACCGCAATTATAAATATCTTCTTCGGTAACCATCCCTATGGGGTCATGAACCGTGCGAGGGGTGTGCCGACATGTGTGGCGGGGTACACAGCACGAACACATACACAACACGTCTGATTGAGCCTGCGTACAAGTAAGTCTATGTGCATGAATGCGAGCATGGATACGCCTAGTGAACATGTATATGACTGTGCATACTGGGCGTGGCGGGGGCCTAACGGGCCACGAAGCGTGTGAGGGGCGTACTGGGCGTGGCGGACGCATGTGGCCACCCCCACTGGGGCGTTACGTGGAACTCGCCACGAACCGCTGTACTGCGTGTGGCGGACGCTTGTGGCCACCCCCACTGGAGCCTTGGGTGGAGCTCCCTGTGGGGCCACGAAACGCTGTACTGGGTGTGACAGACGCATGTGGCCACCCCCACTGGGGCCTTGGGTGGAGCTCCCCATGGGGCCACGAAACGCTGTACTGGGTGTGGCGGACGCATGTGGCCACCCCCACTGGGGCCGCAGGTGGAGCTCCCTATGGGGCCACGACATGTATACTGGGTGTGGCAGACGCATGTGGCCACCCCCATTGGGGCCTTGGGTGGAGCTCCATACGGGGCCACGAAACGCTGCACTGGGTCGTTGAAACTCAGAGAGGAGGGAGGAGGGGGGAGGGGGAGGAGAGAGGAGGGACGAGTGAGGAGGAAGGAGCGCGGGGACCGTCTCTTCAAAACGAGGACCCAACACCACAGGATGCTTGGGAAAAACGGCCGAGCGATGCCAAGCCATGCTCGCACTGCTGCGCCTTCTCCCTGGGAGGGCCCGTCGCCGCCACACGGCCGCATAAAGTTCGCCTCGGCACATGCAGGCCGCAGCACAACCCTCCCCCCACAACCCCGACGTCGAGAGCTGCTCACGACGCGAACCCCTCGAGGTCTCGACCCATTCTCCGGGACTGGAGCTTCATCCCGAGCCGGTTGCTCACTTCGGCGGCGAGCGAGGGGGGGAAATGAGAAGAAGGCCTTCTCAGGAGGCGGCGGGACTTCTCAGGAGCCCTCGCGCCCTCTGAGAGGCCTTCCGCGTCGTCGGGGAAGGCTCGGGAGACTTCTCAGAAGGCTGGGGGACTTCCGAGCCTTCTGAGAAGGCCTTGTCCTTCTCACTTCCCCCCTCTGGACGCGCCTCCGGTCTGGGACTGGATCTTCCTCCCGATGTCCCACTGTCCCAGGACCCGGGGCGGGGCACCCGGAGGCAAAGACTCGCCGTCGTGATTTTCGCCACGACGCCCCAGACATGCGACGTCCTGATTTTTGTCAAGACGGCGCCCCCAGAAGTCCCGACCCCTTCCCCGGGGCCGGTTTTTCATCCTGAATCGTTTTGCGTCGCTCCCGAGGCCCGGCGAGGGCCCCCCGAGGCCGAAAATGGCCCAGAACCTCGTGTCCTGATCTTTTTTAGAGGAAAAAGAACTATGCGCATGCACCGAGTCTGGCCAGGCCCATCCTGAGCCCAGGATCGGTGCATACGCCCTCCTACCTTGGCCAGGAAGGCATATGCACCGATCCTGGGTCAAAGATGGGCCTTGCCAGGATCGGTGCATGTGCATAATTCTCTTCGCCCGATTTTTCACGACGCGATCATGTCTGGGGCGAGGATGTCGCAGGGGCAGCAGCCCCGGTATCTTTGCGTCCGCCCCCCCGGGGCCAGCAGCTGCCCCCCGACGACGGCCGCCAGCGAGAGGTACTCGAAGGCCCGGTTGAGCTGCTCGAAGACCTTGGGGCCCTCGGCGGCGCCGCAGCGCCGCTCGCACTCCGCCCTCGGAGGAGACCCCAGAGCTCCGACGGTCTGACTTCTTCGATCCTTCTCCCCTTTCCTTCTCCCCTCTGGGGCCCGCTGTCGTAGAAGAAGAAGACGAAGACGGAGAATAACAAAAAAAATGACATAAACATTGACGATCGTGGCGCTCCGCGCGGATGTCTTGGAACTGTGCCGGACCCCCCTCCTTGGCGTGCGGAGCGCGCCAGGGGCGGCGGCGGAGGCGCCGCATCGGGCGCCCAGCGCGGATCCAAGAAATCCGCGCGGAGCGCCAAAAGTTTATGTGTATGGCGTTTTGCTCTTCTTCGATGTCGGGCCCCATGGCCATCAAAAACAGATGGGCCCGTTGTCGGGCCCCATGGCCACCGCGAGTGGATGCGGGGGGCAAGAGACGACCCCCTCTTGGGAAAGGGGTCGGGAGCCCCGGGGCCACGGATTGGAGAAGATCACACCTCGGAGCACGTCTGGGGCAGCAAACCCGAGCGAAGCTCGCGTGGGGTCGGCGCCAGCCCACGAGGGCGGGGTGCAGCCGTTCCGACCCGAGAAGCTCGCCGGGCCCCGAGAAGCTGAGTTATCTTCACGGGGCGACCAGAGAGCTGCTCTGAGCAGCCCGATTCAAGGGCCATTCGGCCATAGGCCAGATCAGGTCCATGACTGAGCCGGATTTGACAGGATCTGGCCAAAGCAAGGCGGATCTCCACCCCGGATACAAAAGCCCCAACGCTGGAGTTCAACCCCCAGGAGCTGCAGCCGAGGAATACACGTCTGTAAAAATTGTTTCGACCTTCGGCCTGAGGCCTAGGTGGTAGTTCAGGTGCCTGCTCTCGTGGTGGCCGCGGAGCAGAAACACCCGGCTGGGGTGCACCACCTTTGGAGGCCGCCCGAACGGGGCAAGAGGACATACAGTCAAGGTGCTGCAGTAGGCATACACACACAAACACACGATGACTGATCTTGCCACAAGAATGATTTGGGCATCGTATTCGTCGAGCCTGAAGGGCCCCAACGTGCCCCAGAGCTTCTGCGGGTCCCCAGGACGATCTGGGGATAAGAAAGGTCCGCGGGGCACCTGCTGGCAGGCCGATTTCTTGTTCAATGCGCCTAACTTACTGCACAAGAAGGAAGGAAGCACTGTGTTAGCCCAGAGCGCACGGGTGCACGGGAGGCGCCAAAGGAGCAACCACGGAGAGACCTGAGAAACTGCAAACTCCTTCCGAGCCCCAAGTGCTTCTTTCTGTAGCGGCTTGCCTGAATGACCAGAAGATCGCACCACATCGCCGATGTTGGCATGATTCATGGGGCCGTCCTCCAAGACCAGCTCTCCATCCTGAGTCTCCTTCTGACAGCCCAGAGGGCCCTGGGAGGGCCCCGAGACCCCAAAAAAACATTGAAACATCTCAAGACCCGTTGCCCTCAGAACCCGTTTCCTTCCCGGTGACGATGTATCGGCCATTAACCGGCGGTGATGGACGAATCCGACGAATTCCGAACCCTACCCCCGCCGCCGATCGAGTTATCTGAATCGTTGATCGGCGAGGCTAAACTGGACAATGGCAAATCCGCTCAAAATTAACTTCCAGACCTCTACAAGGGTGCAAATGTTTCAGCCCAGATCCGCTTTCGACGATCCAGGGGCCCGAAAGCGGCCCCCAGAGGCCGAAAATTGCCAAAAACCTGCTCGTAGGCTTTTATTGCTTATCCCAAGTTTCCCCCGCCGCCCATCGAGCTGCCCGAATCGTCCCTGGACGCTCGAAGCGCATGCTGGAAATCTCGGCGACACGCAAGAGTGACCCTACAAGCCTCGTCAAAAATAAACAGAAGACTTCTGAATTCGGTGATTGTGGGGTCAGCGCTACTCCAATGATGACGGATGCCTGGTGGCTCGGACGCGGTGTTGTCCAAAAAAACCGGCCCCACCCTCTCAGCATTGAAGAACGCGCTTGTTGACAAGTGCCCGAAAGCATCGTGCCCCAGGATTTCAACGACCATGTCTGGATATGTTCGACGAGCCCTGTAGGCAAAGTGACCTTCAGTGCGCGGCCACGGGGGGGCCCCGGGCCCTCGGGGACACCGACAGGCGCGCAAGCCGCTGCCGCCGCCTCGCGTTCAGCGATCGGGGGGCCCCCATCGGGCCCGCACCACGGGTCACTCCGGCGAAGGGTCACTCCCATGAACCTCCATCGGACCTTAAATCCGCCGACCCTGTCGGCGTGTGGAGGACGTAGCATGGTCTCGTCATCCTGCGCGGGCCGTCGTTACCCACGGGATCGCCACGTCGGCTCCAAGAGGGATGGTCGGCTCCCTTTGGGGGAAGGGAGCGGCCCACGACACCGCCACGTCGGCTCCAAGAGGGGGAGCGGTCGACTCTCCCCGGGCGAGGGGAGAGCGGCTCGAAGGGAAGCCCCTTCCCTTGTAATCCCTTCCCCCCGAAGGGGGAGGGAGAGGGTCGCACCCGGATGCGCGGGGAGGGGGGGGACCCGGGCGGCTCCCTTCGGGGGAGGGGAGCGGCAGCGACGCGGAAGGGGGGGACGCCAATCTGCTCCCCCCCGGACACGGGGGGGAAGCCGATCAACGTCGTAGCGCACTCGAAGGGAAGCCCCTTCCCTTTTATCCCTTCCCCCCGAGGGGGGGGGGGGAGAGCGGTGGGGGGGACGGGCGGGGGGCGGGGGGGTGGGGGGGGGTCGCACCGGATACGCGGGGGGGGAAGGGGCACCTGGGCGGCCCCCTTCGGAGGAGGGGAGCAGGCCGCGACGCGGAAGGGAGCGGCCGCGGCCCGGGGGGAAGCCAATCTGCTCCCACAGGACACGGGGGGGAGCCAATCTGCGGCAACGTTCGAAGGGAAGCCCCCCCCCCCCCGAGGGGGGGGGGGCCGCGCCCGGACACGCGGGGGGGGGGGGTGGGCGGCGACCCGGGGGGGAATTCAAGCCAATCTGCTCCCCCCCGGACACGGGGGGGAAGCCGATCTGAGCAACACATCGTAGCGCACTCGATGGGAAGCCCCTTACCTTTTATCCCTTCCCCCCGAGGGGGGGAGGGGAGGGGGGGGGGTCGCACCCGGATACGCGGCGCCCAGCGGGGGGGGGGGCGCCCGAGCGGCTCACTTCAGGAGGGGAGCGGCCGCGACGCGGAGGGGAGCGGCCGGGACACCTACTAAGCAACGTCGTAGCTTACTCGAAGGGAAGCCCCTTCCCTGTTATCCCTTCCCCCCGAGGTGGGGGGGGAGGGATGGCGGGGGGGAAGGGTCCCACCCGGATACCCGGGGGAAGGGGGGCACCCGGGCGGCTCCCTTCGGGGGAGGGGAGCGGCCGCGACGCGGAGGGGAAGCCAATATGAGCAACATCGCAGCTTACTCGAAGGGGGGGGGTCTCGGAAGAGAAGGGGGGTCCCGGGTCAGAATACCACCCTCCCGGGGCCCATGGCCCGCCCTCTCCCTCCCATTTCCGTCGAGGGCCGAGGCCTCCAAGGTCGGCGGCACCGGCCGTAAGGCCTTAGCAATAGCGTCCAATCTTGATCAAGGTCGTCCTTAAATTCTTCGTCGCTAAATTTATCGCCACGACGCCAATGTGAAGGTTAAGGTCGTCGTTGCGTCGCCATCAGAGCGTCGTGCGAAGAAGACGGGCAGTGCGCTTCGTTGCAGCAGGGGGCGGATTAGTCGGATTAGAAGCCCGGACTCCATACACCGACGCTCTTTCTGGCCCTGCAGTGAAACTTGCACAGGAAAGCCGAAAGCGTATCCTGATGTATGCGGGATCTTCGTGTATGCATTCTCCGTTTTCCTCGGGAGGATGGAAAAGAAATGTACACCACACCACTCCGACGTCGCCCCCGACCCTCAGGATTCCGAAGGATAATCGCCGCCGGAAGGAATCCGCGGCGTCGGACCGGAGAGGGTCGTGCTCCAGCTCGCGCCGCACCGCCGGTGCATGGGCAGGGCGGCGCGCTCCTATCCGAGCCGCAGCTGCCACTGGCCCATTCGCGTGACGGGGCCCAGGGAGGCACCATTGCACAGGCTCACTTTCCAGGCCTCCCAGATATGCCATGGGGTCCTGGCGACTCCATTTTTTCGAGCCTGGCGTTGTCGCTCTTTTCTGCGGGCCCTGGGACCCTCACGGATCGATCCGTCTCGAGAGATGACGCAGAAAGATGGGGTCGGGGGGTTCGGTTAGGTCGGGCATGTCCCCCTACAGGCGGATTTTCGACGAAAAATCAAAAGTATTCAAAATGTACTCCAATAATAAATAACCAAAAAATCGTCCCCTGACTATTTCTGACTATTTTTGGAAATTCCCCCTGTAGAGGGACAGGCCCGACTTAACGGTTCGGTCGTGAGTCTTGTTTTTATCTTGTTGCGATGTTGCAATTTCTGTTTGCTAAGTCGCGTCCCAGGGTTTGTCCATACTCCCTGAACGTTTGTCTGCCCCTCCATCGCCCCTCTTTTGCCGCATGCGCCTGGGAATCCACGTCTATGTGTGCCTTTGTCTACTTCATGTTTTCCCCTCCTGATCATGGACTTCAGTCGGGCGTGCATGTCACTCTACAGGAGGACGATTTCAAAAACAGTATTCCGATGTCCTCCTATTTCCTACTATGTTTGGATATTTGCAGACGCTTTTCTTGATTATTCCTAAATCCGCCTGCAGAAGGACATGCCCAACCAAATCCTAGGCGGCCCGAAACCTTCAGGCTGAAGAGCAGCGTCAGCACCTCCAGGCTGTGGAAGCCCCGGTCCGCGTAGTCGCCCAGGAAGACGTAGCTCGTGTAGAGGATGTCGCCGCCCTCGAAGGACAACGTTGTACATACAGGAGGGGACCGGCTCAGGGGGGGGGGGGACATCGGCCTGAAATCGGTGATGCATCGCGGAGGGATCGGCGATGAGCCCCCGATAGAGCGGCCCGAAGCAGTGAAGCCTCAGCTCGGGATCCCCTCCCGCTCCCTCGGGGCCCCCTTCTCGAGACGCGCGCTCCTGGGCGGGGCGGGCCGCCCCGCGGCCGGGGATGAGTGGCGTGGGCGATCAGGGGTCGATGTGCGCCCCCCCGGATCCCAGTCATTGAAGGGGCCCCAGGACACACAAATAAATGCACACAAATAAAAAGATTCCCCATATGTTCCCATAGTTTCTGGGTTTCTGTCTTCCCCCCCACTTCCCATATTTTCCCCGATGTTCTGGGGAATCGAGGATTCATTGTGTCTGTGTGTTCCTTTTCCTCCTGAGTCATCACCCCCGCTGACGTTGCCCCCGGCGTCCTCCTCCAGGGGGGCCTGCTGCCACTTGAAGTGGGAGAGCAGGTCCAGCAGCTGGCCGTGGAGCGCGCCGAAGACCTTGACCGGCGGCTGTATGTTCGACAGGACGACGTCGTCCAGCTCCAGGCTCCTGTGGGCAACCGCATGTGACCCCCAACCCCTGCAGGTCAGACAACAGATGGACAATAAATTCGAACCCTTACGCCGGCATTCGAGGGACATTCTAAGTCACCCCCACGCCCCCGACATGAATGTTGATCTCAGCAAAGCGGTGCTTTGGGGTTCGACTATTTCTGTCCACTCACCCCCCCCCCCCCGTCGTCACGCCATCAACATTAATTTCGGGGGGTCTGGGGGGTATCTTGGGACACAGGGTTCGAATCTAATGTCAATGTACGGGACTTCTGAAGAACCGGCAGGGGCCCAGAAATTGAGGGATGTCTTATGAAGACAATCCTGGAGGCCTCGCGCAGCAACTTCAGATTCGATGCCCGTCGGATTTACGTCGGATTTACGCACCCCAGCGTCGATTGGACGCGGAGGGGTAGGGATCGCAAGAAGACTGCAAATCCTGGCCACTGCGCCACACAGCGACCGGAGCTGCGCCGGCGACACCAGCGTGAACGGCGCCTCCCGGCAGGAAGCAAAACCCCTGCGAGATCCGACGTCGGAAGAAAAGCAGCACCGCAGAGAAGCTCGGCCAGAGCCCCGGGCCCCATGTTTTCTGCTGCGTGCTTCGAGCAGTGGTCGATCCGCGGGGCCCCGTGGCCCGGAGCGAGGGCGATGCCAGGGTCGCAGGGAAGGGCGCGGAAGGAAGCGGGTCCGACGGTCGGGCTTCGGAAGTAAGAGGCGCCGGAGAAGGAGCGGAGCCCCCCTTGTCAGGAATCGCACTCTACACACCGACGCTTTCTGCGGCCCTGCACTGAAACTGGCACTGGAGAGCGGATCCCCTGGTGCATACAGGACGCTGGTGTATACGTCTGTCGCTGCTTCCCTGGAACATCGGGGAAAAAAGTATACACCACACCACGCGTCGTCCCCGACCCTCAAAAAGTCCTAGGATTGAAAAACAGCCCGCCACTGGTAATGTATATGTTCCAGTTTCCGACCTTGTGGCCCCAAAAGCGCCGGCGTGGGCGAGGAGCGCTGGAGGAGAACAGCCATGGAAGCACCTGAAAGACATCGAGCCCCTCCCCAACTTCAACTGTGCCTTACTTCGGAGTCTTGGCTGTAGACGCCCCCGCCCGGACCAGTTCTTCCTCCCGAGCTGTAGGTCGGGCGTGTCCCCCTACAGGCGGATCTTGGATAAATACTCAAAGTGTTCAAAGAATACTCAAACATCGTACATAGAACAGCCAAATAATGCCCCAAAAATGTTCGAACATATTCAAAAAATCGTCCCCATACTATTTTTTGTGACTATAAGGTTCCCCTGTAGAGGGACAGGTCCGACTTAACCCGAGCTGTTGTTTGACGCTCCTGGGGCCCGTGGAGGGCTGTGGCTTCCAGCCAGGACTCGGTCCCCTAAGATCTCCGGGCGTTGCACTGCTTCCACAGAGGAAGCTGCCAACCCTCACAGACCGAGGCAGCTCGAGGAATCAAGCATAATGATATAGAGGGCAGAAAATCCAGCCCGAGAATAACCACCCCGACACGCGAGGCCGCTTCATAAACGCACCCAAGGAAGGAATCCAAGAGGGCAGAGCTTTTTAGTGAACGCCCAGGGCCGTTTAGTAAAGGCCAGATGATGCCTGTGATGCAACGTCAGGTCTGAGGGTCGATCAAAGATGGGGTCATGAGGGATGGGGCCCTAAGGACGAGGTGCCTCAAACAGTGTCGATGCAGCCCTGGATCCCTTCCTATCTATCAATAGGTCCCCATCCCGCAGGGCCCCATCTTTGAACCGCCGAAACACTTGGGCCTCAGGCGGCCGTTCGGAACGATTCCGGCACCCCCGGAACGCCCTCGACGAGGCGCAGCTGATGGAAACCATGCCGGGTCCCAAAAGCTCCCTGGACGACCCCGAGACCTCCGAAAACCACTGCTCCAGTATAAGCCTCCCAGAAGGGGGGGAGGAGGAGGAGGATGAGGAGGAGGAGGAGGAGGAGGAGGAGGAGGAGGAGGAGGAGGAGGAGGGAGGAGGAGGAGGAGGAGGAGGAGGAGGAGGAGGAGGAGGAGTAGGAGGAGGAGGAGGAGGGGGGGTCAGAGTAGATGAGATCGAAGGATCGCGCCGCGTCGTCCTCCTACCCCCATCCACTGGGACCTCATCTGGGAGGCCCAGGTCCACGGCTGCAGGGCGGGGATCTATCCGCATCCACCGCCTGGGAACCGACGTCCTGGGACCCAGCGGGGGGCGGTGGATATGGATATGGATATATATATAATATATATATCTATATATATATTACACATACAAACATACATACATACATACATACACACATACATACATACATGCATGCATGCATGCATGCATGCATACATGCATGCATGCATACATCATACATACATACAACATACATACATACATGCATACATACATACATACATACATACATTACATACATAAATACATTACATAAATGCATGCATGCATGCATGCATACATTACATACATACATACATACATACATATAGACACACATATATTTATATGTGTATATATAATATATATAATATATATATATATATTGGCCCCGGGGGCCAACACATATCCATATCCGCCGCCTGGCGAGGTCCGCGAAAATCGATCCCCCAGGCGGTGGTCACGCAGAAATCCCCGCCTCGACATGGCGAGGCCTCGCAGTCCCGAGGGACGAGGTCGTCGTAGCCGGGGGCGCCCAGGGTGCGCAGCACCCTCCGCGCGAGCGCCCGGGCGTCCGCGATGGGCGGGGGCTCCGGGTCGGGCCGCGCCAGCGGCGCGGGGGGCGGCGGCAACAGCGCCTGCCGGCTGCACAAAACGCCCTCAGGTCTGGGCGACGGAAAAAAAAACAGAAAAACAAAAAACAAAAACAACAACAAAAAAAAAAAAAAAAACGGGGCGGCCAGTTCGCTTACCAGGAGCTCGAGGTTCGGAGCTTCAGGGCTCCAAGTTCGGGATGTTCCTGCGTGCTCGTCGGCTCTCGGCGGCGTTCGGGCCTCGGGATGCCTTCAAGCGGCTCTGCGCCTCGCTGGGGGCTCTCGTGGGGCACCAAGGTCTTCCCGAGCGGCCGCCGGAGGCATGAGCTCTGGGCCGAACGCCGCCAGGGTCCTGAGGTACTGGCGTCTCACTTCTGCTCGCAACGGGCGAACGCGCCTTGCCTCGGGGCCCCAGGGCCCTCACGAATCGATCCGGGTCGAAAAGCAGGTCGCGGAGAGATTGGATCCCGGGTGTAAACGCTCGTGGCCTCCGCAGGCTGCCTCCCAGCCTCAGGGCAGCCCCCACACACACACACGCACAATCACACACGCACGCACGCACGCACGCACGCACGCACACACGCACACACACACATATGTATATATATATATATATATACATACATACATACATACATACATACATACATACATAGACTGCATTGGCGCTGCGCGCCATGCACCTTGGTCCTTTGAGTTCTGCACGCAAGCGGAATGCGTGCGTGCGTACATGCGCGCATGCATGTATACACGCGCACGTGCATGCACGTTCTGTATACATGTATAGGTGTATACATTATACTTACATTGTTGTATGTGTGCAGCGTACAGATGCACATATAAATTTATGTGTGTAAGGGTACGAACAAGCATATGCAAATCGTACGGGGCATCCTCGGGCATCTTCGCTGCATGCCACGAGACCCTCACCGACTGGGTCACAATGTGAAATGTCATGGGAGCAAAATCAATGAATGCTGGCTTTCGGAAGCATCGTGGGGGTGTTTTCGGGGCCCTCGTGGGCCTTTTTGGCGCCTTCATGGGCCGTCCTGGGGCCTTCTTGGGCCGTATTGGGGAGCTCGGGCCCGCTGGAGCTTGGATCCCAACGTGGGTTTATTAGTATAGAGAGGGTCATGAAACAAACGTTGCAACACATGTTCTGCGTATCTGTGCATATGCGGTCTGGCAAATCAGGGCGGCATCATCGCGACGCCAAGGGGCGTCGCGGACTCGAGCCCTTGGCCTGGGAGCACGAAGCGCACGATTACCCACATCATGAAGTTCTGCAACCAGTCACTGTGTTCTGGGGGTGCACGAACACGCAAAACACTATTCTGTTAATCGTTAGCTGGCGCCCGCCTCGAACTTATGCACCACCCCCCGCCTCTTCCAAATATCCCATCGCTGTGGCCCCACCCTCCTCATGCCCCTCCGATTGCCTCGGTCCTCATCATGCCCTTCGTCCACATTGCTCCATGTGCCCATTCACGTCGTTCCTCGTCGTCCTCCTGCGCCGGATTCGTTCCCCCATCGTCCACGTGCCTGCCCTCCTCCCATCCTCTACGCCCTGGTGCACATCATGCCCCCGACTTCTGCCCCCCCCCCAACTCCCTCGCCCTCGTGATGCTGACACCGATGATGCAGATCCTCCTGGGCTCATTTCCTCCGCTCTCGTCCAGTCCCGTTCATCCTTGGCCCCTCGGCCACCTCTCCTATTGAACCCCTTCCTTCCCGCAGCCCACCATCCCCACCCCCCCGCGCCTTTGCATGCCCAGACCACGGCCCCCTCCTGGACCAGCCGGGAGACCCGCGGAAACTCCCGCCCGGGGACCACTCCAGCGAACGCCGCGCAACAAATGCACAGTTGGAGACACGAACTGTGTTTTTCGACCGCGCACGAGGCCCCCCCTGGACCAGCCGGAAGAGAAACGCGAAAGTTCCCGCCCACTTAAAACACCACCCGCGAGGGACACACTTCAAATACACAGATGGCAACGAGATCTGTGTACACAGATCACACCACGATCTGTGTACACAGCGGGCCCACACACGAAAATACACAGTTGAAGACACAAATTGTGTACACAGATCACACCTTGATCGGTGTATTTCGACAAGGTAAACGCTCGCCACCCCGAGGGCGCCTCGACTTTGCCAGCCCAGAAGCGAGGTTGACATGCCCAGCTGGGGGGGAATTCAAATACACACTTCCCCGGCCCAGGGCGCCCCCGAGAGATCCGCAAATACGCGCTTCCCTGGCCCAGAGCGGCCGCGGTGCAACGCGGCGCCAAAGCGGCCCCCACCGGCCCGAAGACGCCCCAAAAGGCTTCGAAGGACCCCAAAGAATGCCGCGCAACAGTCCGAAAACACGAAAGATGTCACATGTCACGGACCTCTTAACAGTCAAAGCTCCACGGGTCGCCATATAGACCACTGCTCTGGCAGGGGGGCGGACCTTGCCGCAGGCACCTATAATTCACATGTTAGCGATGCGACTGTGCTCGGCGGCCGTGCCGCCCGCATTTTGGGTGCGCCCCGAACTCCCGCATTGGCAATCCCCTCTGTTTGGTTGCGCCGCTGTGCTCGGATATCGAAAAAGCATTTACCGCTGACGCGGGCACGCGGCACCACGGACTTCACTTTTCGAACAAGGAGGGTGGGAGAGGTAGGACGACGGACGGTGGAGCAGGGAGGCAAAAAGGAACGAGGAATAATAAGGGAGGTGGGAAGGGGCGCTCCCCCGCCCGAGCCGCGGACGCTTTCGACACCATCCAGGGGAGGGAGGGAATGAAGGGGAACGGAGCAAGGGCGAGGACGACGACGGGAAGCAAAGTGTCCCGGGTCCGCATATAGCCATATGTCTGCGATTCGGGTGTGCGCGCTTTCTTCGAGGCACTTCAAGCCGGACCCATGCTGAATTCACTAATTCCTCAAAACTGTGTAAACACTCTGTCCTCTGTTCCCTCTCCTATACAACGGCCTCATAACAGAGGGGCAATGGATTCCAAGCTGGAGCCCCCTTTGGACCCATCTTGGGCACTTCCGGGGACCTCCCATGGCCCTTTTGGGTCTGTGCTGGGAGCCCTTGGGGGGCCTCTTGGTTCCATTATGGGCTGTCTTGGGGCTCTCGTGGGCGATCGTGGGGCCCGGCTCGGCAGTCTTGACGTTTTCTAAGGGGGCCTTTTGGAGCGCCTTGAGGCGATCTCGGGGGCTTTGAAACCGTCTTGAAGGCTGATGAAATCCGGAAGGCGAATATGCTAAAATTGTAAGTTTTACGAGGGGAATGGGAAGATTTTTGTGCTTTGAAGGCCCTTGGAAAGCTTTTCGGGGTGCCTTTGGGGTCTTGATGTTGGCATTCGGAAACATCGTGGGGGTGTTTCCGGGGCCCTCGTGGGCCGTTTTGGCGCCTTCATGGGCCGTCCTGGGGCCTCCTTGGGCCGTCTTGGGGAGCTTGGGCCCGCTGGAGCCCACTTCCGGGGACCTCCCATGGCCCTTTTGGGTCTGTGCTGGGAGCCCTTGGGGGGCCTCTTGGTTCCATTATGGGCTGTCTTGGGGCTCTCGTGGGCGATCGTGGCGCCCGGCTCGGCCGTCTTGAAGCTTTCTCGGGGGCCTTTTGGGGCGTCTTGAGGCGATCTCGGGGGCTTTGAAACCGTCTTGGAAGCTGATGAAATCCGAAAGGCAAATATGCTAAAATTGTAACTTTTACGAGGGAAATGGGAAGATTTTTGTAGTTCGAAGGCCCCTTGGAAAGGTTTTTGGGGTGCCTCGGGGGTCTTGATGTTGGCATTCGGAAACATCGTGGGGGTGTTTTCGATGCCCTCGTGGGCCGTTTTGGCGCCTTCATGGGCCGTCCTGGGGCCTCCTTGGGCCGTCTTGGGGAGCTTGGGCCCGCTGGAGCCCCCTTTGGACCCATCTTGGGCACTTCCGGGGACCTCCCATGGCCCTTTTGGGTCTGTGCTGGGAGCCCTTGGGGGGCCTCTTGGTTCCTTTATGGGCTGTCTTGGGGCTCTCGTGGGCGATCGTGGGGCCCGGCTCGGCCGTCTTGAAGCTTTCTTGGGGGCCTTTTGGGGCGTCTGGAGGCGATCTCGGGGGCTTTGAAACCGTCTTGAAAGCTGATGGAAATCCGAAAGGCGAATATGCTAAAATTGTAACTTTTACGAAGGGAATGGGACGATTTTTGTGCTTTGAAGGCCCCTTGGGAAGCTTTGTGGGGTGCCTTGGGGGTCTTTTGGGCCGTCCTGACGCAATTGGAGTCACTCTTGGAGCGCTCTTGTGCTGTCAGGGGCCTCCCTTGAGCCTTTCTGATGACCCCTCGGATCGCTCTGGGTCTGCTGGCAAGGCGTTTGTGTAGACCCAGAAAGCTGGGTGACCTTTTCCAAGGACGTCCAAGGGAGCCCGAGAACCCCAGATCCCGGGGGTCCAGTTTTTTTTGGGGGGGATGTTTTTTTCCCCCCGGGCTTGTAAAAATATAGGAAGAGGAATATATATATATATATATATACATATATATAATAATAATTATATATATATATACATATATATATATACATATATATATATATATATACACAGGAGGAGGAGGAGAAGGAGGAGGAGGAGGAGGAGGAGAGGAAGAAGAGGAGGAGGAGGAGGAGGAGGAGGAGGAGGAAGAGGATAGATGAGGGGAGGAGGAGGAGGAGGAGGAGGAGGAGGAGGAGGAGGAGGAGGAGGAGGAGGAGGAGGAGGAGGAGGATAGGAGGAGGAGGAGGAGGAGGAGGAGAAGGAGGAGGAGGAGGATAGGAGGATAGCAAGATAGGAGGATAGGAGGAGGAGGAGGAGGAAGAGGAGGAAGTGGGCCAGTGTCGCGAGGCAGAGAGTGCGACGTCGGAGGGGCGGGTGGCCCCCGAGCTGCAGCCCTCGGGCTCCACCAGCCGAGGCGTGGCCGCCAGAGCGCGGGCCACGAGAGCACGAGCCCAGGCGCCAGAGGCCTCCTGAGGCCTCCCCCTTGCCATCGCGCTCGGATGTCCCTTCCCCCTGCACGTTGCGGCTTCGCGCGCGTACTTCTTCGCAGGAGGAGTTAAGGGCCCGGACCCCCGACGTCACGACTCTGTCATGACGCCGACACCCAGATGTCTGGATCCGTTCCCCGGGACCCGTTTTTCATCCTGTGTCGCTTGTTGACGGTCCCGAGGCCCTGCAGGGGCCCCCAGAGGCCGAAAATTTAGGAAAACCTCCCGTCGCGATTTGTTCATCACTCGAGGGGGCCTGGGGATGCTCCTCGATGGTCCTTGCCGGGGGGGAAAAAAAAACAAACAAAAAAAAGGCGTACACGTCCGAGCGATGCCAGGGCCCCCTAGAGGTGCCCCAAAAGCGAAGAGCGTTCTCTGGGGCGGAGGGCCCGTGCACGAAGGGCCCATGCACGAAGGGCCCGTGCACGAAGGGCCCGTGCACGAAGGGCCCGTGCACGAAGGGCCCCCTTAGGTCGGACATGTCCTCCTCCACGCAGATTCTGGATGAGAAAGAAAGCATATTGCATAATTTCCTTACTATGAAAAAAGATCGTCCCCAGACTATGCTTTATTACTTTTTTGAAATAAGCACTCCCCCGGTAGAGGGACATGCCCGACTCAAGGGCACACCTCCAAAGCAAGGGGCAGTTCTTGCCCCTCATGCCAGCTGCCGTCGGACCTGGGCCAGAAGAACACCCCTCAAGAACACCCCTCATGAACATCAGACGGCACATCTAAGGATACCCTCCCCAGGATGCACAACAACATCCCACAAACACGAGGAACACGAGGACACCCTACCCGAACCGACCTCGATCTTAGACCTCGGTTCGACTGTATATACGGCCGGCTGGCTCTCCGACAAGGGGCAACTGAGGGTCAAAATCAACAAAAAACCTTGACAAACATAGACTTTCGGAGACCCGCGCAAACCTTTTGGAATTGCACCGCCAGCGGCGCCTCTGGCGCCGCCCGTCGCCTGGGCCCAGCGCCGATCCGAGATATCCGCCCGCCGAAATTCCGCGAAAACGCCCAGCTCGCAAAAATCGAGTCGCCAGGATCTCAGGGCAGACCGCGCGTCGGCTTCCACGGCGCGGCGACCCCTGGGCTCGGGTCGGGCACGTCCTCCTTCAGAGGGGATTCTGGAAGACACGTAGAGATCGTCAGCTGGCCCAAAAAAACAATCGAAACCTCGCCCCCTCACTGTTTGTTCACTATCTGTTTGAACACTCCTCCTGCAGAGGGCCCCGCCCGACCCCATTCTGGCGCGCCCGGCGCGCCGAGTACGGCGGCGCCGCCGGGCGCGCCGCGGCGGGCGCGGGCCGCTCCGCGCCCTGGGGGCCGAAGAAGGAGTCCATGTCCAGCAGGTGCGCGTGCCACTCGAGGCCCTCCTGGGCGGCGAAAGGGGCCCAGAGGCGCAGACAGCCTCCCTCTCCCCAGAAGGCAACTGCTGGGAGGTCGTCGTCGGGAGGATTCTGGAAGATTAAGCCCCATTGGGGGGCTGTTACGCCGGAGTGGGCCTTGGATGAAGCGGGACTAAGCCGGATTAAGCGGGATTAAGCCAGATGAAGCGGGATTGGACGGGACTTAGCCAGATTAAACGGGAGCATGCCGGATTAAACCGGATTGCGGACCAGGGCAAAATCAGAACTTGACCCCCCAGGAGTTGCATCCGAATCCGCCCCAGGCCCCCTCGAAGCATGACACCATCACGACGGGAGGTTACTCGCTGCTTTCGGCCTCCGGGGCCTCCTGCCAGGCCTCGGGACCGTCACGAAAGAACTCAGGATGAGAAGACGGGTCCCTGGGAACGGGTCCAGACCTTTGGGGCTCGACGCAACAAGAAAAAATCATGACGTCGGGTGGGGTCTGGGTCGCCGTCGCTCGGACGGCCACACCTCGTGCACTTTTCGGCTTCTCGCGCTCAGTTTTCGCACGGGGGCCCCAGGATGCCCTTCGAGGGTCCTCGCCGAGAAAACACGCACACGTCCGAGCGACGCCAAGCCTCGCGCCGCGACAAAAAAACAGGACGGAAGGCTCTCGCCCACCTGCGGCCTCCGCGGGTCCTCGCCGACCGGAGCCTTGGGGCCGTCAGAGGACGACCCGGGATGGAAAACCAGCCCCGCGGAAGACCTCTGCGAATCCGCGCTGCGGGGAAAAAATCTCACACACGAAACAGCAGCAACAACAACAACAATATTTTTAAGACTGTTCGCTCTTATCTGCTCGCGTGTCATTCAAAAACATATCCCAAACCTTGGATATCCGCCCTCTTCGTCTTCGATCGCACCCCCTTTTGGGGGGTATATTCGTTCCCTGCCACGCGTGGTTGGTGAAGCCCTTGAAAACGAAGGGTAACAGATAACGGGGGATAGTGAGGACGAAGGGATCGGAGGAAGGGAAGGGAGGGGCAAGAAGAAGGGAGGACGATGATTTGCGCTGTGAGTGGCGATTCAGCTCGCGCCATGGCTTGCGCCAGCCACTCCAACACAGGTTAACAATAAGTTTCGCCATGGGTCGCGCCATAAACAGCGCTACGTACCACCCCCATTGAAAGAACATATCGTGGATACCCCCACGGGGGGACGTACAGCTGCCAACTGGTGTCAGGAACAATTTTCGTGGAACCCTGAAAAGAAGCGGGATGTTGGGAGAGTGAGGCGGTAGGATAATGAGAACTGAAGAGGTGTCGAGAAGAACGCGGAAACCCCAAGTGAGAGCGCGATGTTTCAATAAATTGTGAGGAAGCGTCAAGCGGGAGCCGCGATCCGGTGGTAAATTGCAAGGAAGCCCCAAGCGAGAGCGCGATTCTTCAATAAATTGTGAGGACGTATCAGGCGGGAGCCGTTGTTGTTGTAAGCCGGGGGCCAACAACACAGGTTGACCCTCAAGACTTTCCCTGATAAAAGACAGGTTGCGAGCCCCGGGAAGGGCACTTCAATAGAAAAAACAATGTGCACCGGACGGGGGGGATCAACAGTAATTATTCTTCAGAAATGAGAATTCAACAACAACAGCAACAGCAACAGCAACAGCAACAGCAACAGCAACAGCAACAACAACAACAACAACAACAACAACCACAACAACAACAACAACAACAACAACAACAACAACAACAACAACAACATTAACATTGAACGCATTGAACGATTGTCGGGCGTTGGCAGACCTGGGTTTGGTGGGACCTGGTTTAGTGATGTTTACTGGGGGACGCCCCCCCGCCCCGTTCCACTAACCGGAACTGCCGTCACCCGAAAAAAACACCAGCTACAGCAGACCTGGATTAGTCATTCTGGCCAATTCAGGGGCTCCGGGGCCCTACCACTAACCAGGTCCCCTTACCTGGGGCCCTGGCTGTACCCGAGATTGAACGCATTGAACGATTCCATCGCGTTGAACGCAGGAGGAGGAGGAGGAGGAGGAGGAGGGGGAGGGTTTAGGAGGAGGAGGAGGAGGAGGAGTGGACCCCAGACCTCCAACGCATTGCACGATTCCACGCGGAGGCGTTGCGTCGTGTGCAGCCTCTCCGGAGGCCCTCGCCCGATCGCCCGGGGACCGTCCAATCACCGACTCGGCGGGATGCAACACGGGCCCTCTTCCTCCTCCTCCCCATCCCTCCTCCTCCTCCTCCTCCTCCTCCTCCTCCTCCTCCCCGGGCCTTCCGGGGGACCCCGTGCCCTTGGAGGCTTGGGGTTGCCTCCACAGGGGAAAGGTGATCCTAGATTTTCGGTGCTGGTGGCGATATGTCGGCCACCCTGGAAGCCAGAATATGACAACCATCACCGAGATCGGGATCTTTCTTCCCTCGGTGGAGGCACACCGCCGAAATTGGTGCTGGTGTCAACCTCTATGCCTGCGACCGCACCCAGCGAAATCCAAACGTCGACTCTCTGGGCGGAGGTCCGTGCGCAGACTTTTTGGCAGCATCGGCCGCCTGTCGCCCATGTTCGGGCGCCCCGGGGCCCTCCTCACGGACCGATGCGGCTTGACAAATACCGCCGCAAGATGGGGTCGGGGGTTCCGTTGGCGATGTCTCCCGATGTTGCATCTGTCTCGAAACGGGCAGAGGCAGTGCTGGGAGGTCTTCGTCATAACGAGTAAAGTCTATTATCCAGCCCGATGAATAGGTCACTGAACCGGACTAGGCTGGATGAGGCCCGGGAGTAGGCCGGACGACACGGGATTCGACCGGATCCAAGGGAATAAACCAAAATAAGCGGAACCATATCAGATCAGGCCAGTTTTCGACCCCAACACCGATTCGGAATCTAACCTCCCAGGAGTTGCACCCTAAGATGTGATAGGTGGCCACATGTGAACCCTACCCCCACCCCCCACGATTTCTAAAAGGGGGTGGGGGGTCCCACGTTTTTTATTCGCCGGCCCAACGGGCCAGAGGCGTGCTAAGATCTCCGGTAACTGGTTCACAGTATTTCTAATTCGCGCGCGCGGGGCGGCCCCTGGGGGTCCCCGGACGAAAAGTACCCGGGCAAGGTCCCGGGAGAAGCCCCCAGAGCGCTCCAGGAGCGCACCAACAGGGCCCCGAGACGTCCACGAGAGTCCCAAGAAGGGCCAAGAGAGAGTCCCAAGAAGAGCCAAGAGCGCCCAAGAGGCCCACAAGATGGTACAACAAGGGTCCGAGATGCCACAAGATCGCTCCAAGACGCCCAAGATGGCCCCCAGACGCCCCAAGAGGCCTCCAAGAGCACTCTCAAGAGGGCCCCAAGATGCAAAAATCATTGCTCTTCCTCAGGTTTTGGACTGATTTTGGTGTTTCCACCTTTTCAGCTTCCCGGTTCCCCAAGACGGCCCAAGAGGCCCCCAAGATCGCCCCAAGAGGGCCCAAGAGGCCCCCAAGAGGGCCCGAAGACGGCCCAAGAGGGCCCCAAGACGGCCCAGGAGGCCTCCAAGACGGCCCAAGAGGGCCCCTAGAGCGCCCCAAGAGCGGCCCCAGAGGGGGAGCACGAAACAACATTTCGAGCCCTCGGTCCTGAGAGGCCCCCAGGAAGCCCCAAGAGGCCCTTAAGAGGCCCCAAGAAGCCCACAAGAGCCCTCAGGAGGCCCCCAAGACGCCCCCAAGAGGCACCCAAGAGGCTCTAAGAGGCCCCCAAGAAGCCTCTTAAAGGCCCTAAGAGGCCCCCAAGAGGCTCCCCACGGGCCGGCGGAATGAGCGAAGCGATTCAATATAAATCCGCCCGCCCACCGGGCAGAGGGGCGTGTGAGATTTCACTACGAGGGCTCCTTCCAGAGCTTCGCCTTCCCCTTTTCCCCCCCCCCGCGGACGCCTCCGCCATCCCGCCGCCCGGCTGCGCTCCATCCTCTTTTCCGGTCCCAAGACGGCCTCCAAACGGCGTCCAAGACGAGTTCGATTTTCACACCGCTTCCAATACACTTTTCGGGCGCATTTGGGCTCTATTTTGGCTCCTTCGGGGCCCCTCTTGGGCTCCAAAATCAACTCCTGGGGCCCTCAAGAACGCTTCTTGGGCTCAACCATGCGTACAGACTGGAAACCTCAAAAATATAGCCAAACACACCAGTTTGGAATGATTTTTGCCTCGCCGGGGATCGCCCGGACGCCTCTTCTGGCTGACTTCCGGGCTCGCCTGGGGCATCTTTCAGCGTGTAAACTTCGACACCGTCTTCGGACACGCTCAGGAGACAATTTTGGACGATCCCGGGCTCAACTTAGGCCCCCAAGCGGGGCCCAAAACGGCCCAGAACAGGCCAGGTTTTTACCGAAGACGGACGGTGCTACGGCCCCATGCGGGGATGCTCGCGCTTGGGTCGTCCAGAAGCCCGCCTGGGCCGCCTCGGGCTCGTCTTGGGCCCCTTTTGGGCCCTTCTCCGGGCCCTCTTCGGCCCTCATTGGCGCCTTTGGGGCCGTCTCCGAAGCGTCTTTGGCTGGTCATCGGCGCCGTTCTGGCTGGCCTCCTACTATGGATTAGGCATCCTGGGGACGACCATCCGGGCCACCCATCGGGAGAACCATAGAAAAACCATCGGGGCTGCCACGACGTCAACCATCCGGCCCAACGACACACATCGGAGCAAACAGAGGGCCAATCCTCCAGGCAGCCATCGGGCAAACCATCGGACCCGCCGTCGCTCCAGCCATCGGGGGCATCATGGGGACTGCCACCCCGGCCAGCCAGACACCCAGTTGACTCGAAGGTCAAGGATGCCGGAACTCCTGAGCTCGCCCCTGTGGTCCCCCCGAGACGCCGGCGGAGGAGGCGCCATATGAGCGGCAGGCCGCACGGCCCCAGGACAAGGACGCTCCAAGACGGCCCAAGTTCGTCTCAAGACGGCCCAGGACGATCCAAGACTGCACAAGCCACGCGGCAACAGCACACGTAGAACGAGACCCCCCCCCCTCCGTCTCGAGATGCCCTCCCGTGAGCCTCCACCGAATCTGGGGAGTGGTGCCAGATGGTCCTCTTTGGCTCGGGATGGTCCCAAGGACACCATGACCGAAGATGCACAATCCTACAGACTCGGCGTCGCACTCAGCGCTGCTCAGGTCACTCACACTCCCGAACGCGAATCCGCGGATCTTTACGTGCCGAAGTGTGTATGGCATGTGAGAGTCCGTAGCCCCCTGCCCCTGCTCGCCCTTTCCCACGATTCGACTCTTCTTCTTAGGCGAGCTGTCGGGAGCAGAGCTCGACACTCCCAAACATACCGCCTGACCGCAACAGACCAACACGACCCGGTCCACAGAACCCAAAGCAATGCACATAATGGTCAGACCCAGCCCCGTTTTATGCCCAACACGGGAATGCCCGCGCATGAGACACCTGAAAACTCCACCCGGCCGCCTGGGGCCCTTCGTGGACTCTTTCTACACCCTGGTAGGCACCCGTCAAACGCTATTGGTGTTTTTTCCCATGCGTTCGGCCCGTTTCGGTTGACCTTGAGCAGTGCTCGGCTATTTCGGGCACCCTGACGTGGATGGGGCGTAAGGATGCGGAAAAGCCGACCTCCAGATCACTGATCCGTTGATAATGGCGGCGGACCGCAGGCGAAAGGACAAAGTTACCATCGATGGGCCGCGCGGCATACCTGAGCCCAATAAGCGATGGGATGAAACAAGAATGACACCCACGAAAAGACAACAAACCGCATCTACGGGGTCTTGTGCTATTTTCCGTCTATGCTTATCCAGCCTTGCAGCTGCCTCGCCTTATCCGGCGAGGGCAAGAATGGGCGGGCGGTGAACGCGAAGCGTCTTGAATAAAGAAAAACGTGCCCAAATCATATGTTACTATTCTTGAATATTCCTCCTCTCGAGGGACATGCCCAGCTTAACCCAGCGGGTGTCGACCTCGCCCCGTCGGCGCTTGGGGCCGGAGGAAGGGGGGGTGAGCGCTCTTGCCGCGCAGAAGTTCTCTGCGGCGGAGGTCGGCTTTGGGCCGGTCGGCGGGCCTCGAGAGCCCTGCCCCCGAGGGCGTCTTAGACAGCCGAGCCCCGACAAGATACGGACGGGAACTTTTGCTGCGCGTGTCGCGGCGGCGGCCGAGTGAGCAGCGTGTCGCTCCGCTCCGCGGGGCGGGAGGCCGAGGAAGGCTCGGGACGTTGACGCCTGGGGGCTGGGATGTGGATAGCGCGTCGCGCCGAGGCGTCGGTCGGGCCAGAACCGGCGGCGCGATACGCTGAGCCGAAGTTCCCGACCGTATCCTGTCTGAGGGGTCGGCGCTGCAGACGCACCCGATGGGATTATAGAAGGCAGTCCTCCCCAGGATCCACTCTGCGAGGCAGACTCCTCAGATCGGGCACATCTTGGGGGACCTGCTCGTCCCAAAAGGCTGAACGACTTGTCTCCCATCGACCTGCGGGGATCAAGCCAGGCAGGTCGGGGCAGGTCCGGGTACATCCTGGGGCTCTCTCTCCTCCTCCCCTCACATCCTCCTCCCCTCCCCTCCCCTCCCTTCCTCCTCCACAATTACTCTATATGAATACTACTCTCCCTCTTCCCTGATGGCGTGCAGGGAATATTCGACCCCCCCCCGCGTATTGTTTTTTACACACAGGATTCCCGGGAGTTGGGTTTCCGCCTGCGTTTTTTTTCGAAATGCTGCTCTCGCTGAGGCGCCGACCTCATTTCTGCTCCCGAATCGTTCCGAATCGTGCTCCCGCTGCAGCGTGGGCCTCATTTTCGGATCGGTGTTTTGCCTCCGTCGTTCAGGATGGCGTTCTCGCCCCAGCGCGGGCCTCTTTCTCGCGCGCCCATCCGCCCGCCACCACCGCGCCGCACCACGCCCCGCCCCGCCGCACGCACACCCACCGCCACTTCCACCCACCAACGCACGCACGCACGCACGCGCACCACCACCGCGCACCGCCACCACCACCGCACTACCCCACCCACCACCACCACGCTACACCGCGTCACACCACATCACACGCGCGCACACACAGACACACAAGCACGCACGCACACACACACATACACACGCACACACAGCACGCACACACACAGACACACACACACACACCACACACACACACAACACACACACACACAACACACACACACACACATACACACCCACCCACCCACACACACACACACACCCACACCACAACACACACTCACCACCACCCGCCACCACCACCACCACCGCCATCACGCACGTACGCACCTGGCCCACCACCAAACCACCAAGACGCCACACCACGTCACACCACAGCACACGCGCACACACGCACACACACACACACACCACACACCACCACACAACACCACCACCACGCACACACGCACGCACGCACGCGCACCACCACCCACTACGCACCGCGCGCGGAGCCACAGGTCCGCTACGACACGCGTCCGCGGATAGAGAAAATCAGCGCCATGGTAAGGGATGGGAGGGAGGGGTAGGATGTCAGATGTTGACGCGAGCGCACCTAGCTTGTCCTCCTCCCCCTCCTCCTCCCCCCCCCCCTCCTCCTCCTCCTCCAGGCGGGCCGCCGGGCCTCCTCCGACGCTGCGCCGTCGCCGTGGCCGTCGTCCCCGAGCGGCGAGGCGCCGGACATGCTGGAGGCGTGCGCCCTGCACCGGGGGGGCGGGAGGCCCGGACACCCTCTCGCGGCGAAGGCAGCACGGCGGAAGGCGGTTTTTTTCAGAGGAGGGCAAGGTGCCCATACAGTCGGGGCCTTGACCTAAGGAACGATAAATAAGGAACGAGGCCCCTTTTTCCCACAAGTTAAACTCCGATTTCCCATCGAAAACCAAAGGAAAACCCAAGGCAAACTGTGAAGCAATCAAGGAACACGGAGCCCCTCCCCAACGAAAAGTTTTTCTTCTTCAGGGCCCCGACTGTACTGCTACGTGAGCGTTGTTTGATTCGGCGTTTCGACATTGGGCGGAAGGGGTGGGGGAGGGGGGGGTCTGGCTCCGGACCTCTGCTCAACGCCGAAAAACAGCCAAGATCTACTCCAGTGGGGGGAAGGGGTGCAAGGGCCCGCGCCGATCGCGTTTCCCTGTTTCGGCCCCCTGGGAGGCCCTCGTCGCCACCGCTGGAGTCGCCCCGAAATTCTGGTCCGAACGCGCAGCAGGAGAGGCCAAGAGGGGGGTGTCCAAGAGGGGGGGGTGCAAATCATGACTGGCGGCATGTGCGCGGCCCAGTGGGGGGGCCAGGGACGTAATGAAATAAGAAGAGGCGCCATGAAATCTGGGGAAAAATCATGGCCCCCGCCATGATATCCACCCCCCCCTAGTCATCACCCCCCTCTTTTCCGCCCCCGAGCGCAGCAGGAGAGGCCCGGGGTAGCGGTACCAGGGCCGTTTGGTCTCCGCATGTTTGCTCATGCTCGGCCTCCAGGGGGCCTGGCAGGGCCCCGAGGCCGTGGAGCAGCTGCTAGCGGGAGGAAGAGCCGGACCCGGGAGGGGGGGGTCCAGAGCTCCGGGGGAGCCGCGCTGGCATAGAGCACAGCCGTCGGATGTGCGGGGGGAGGACCCGGGAGTCCTCATCTCCTCTCCCCTCCTCCACCTCCCCCTCCCCCTCCCCCTCCCCCTCCTCGTCCTCCCCTCGTCCCTCTCCCCCTCCTCCCCACCCCATCCCCCCTCCCACCTCCTCTTCCCCCTCCTCTCCCTCCTCCCCCCCCTCCTCCCCCTCCTCCTCCTCCCCCTCTCCCTCCCCCTCAGCCGCCGCCTCCCACTCCCTCCCAAGGGGCGGGGAAGGATCGGATCGTGTCAGCGCCAGTGCCAGATTAGCCAGATTCGGCTCGGAAGATCAGGTCGAAGATGAAGGATCGAGAATCGAGGATCCAGGAGGAGGAGGAGGAGGAGAAGGAGGAGGAAGACGACGACGACGACGACGACGACGACGACGACGACGACGACGACGACAACGACGACGACGAGGACGACGACGAGGACGACGACGACGACGACGACGACGACGACGACGAGGACGAGGACGACGACGACGACGACGACGACGACGACGACGACGACGACGACGACGACGACGACGACGATTCGAGGGGGAGGCGCGAGGTTCGAGGCTCGGGGACCCAGCTTCTCTGGGCCTCCCGCCCTCTCCCGGGCCTTCCCGGGGGGCCTCTCGTCGCCGCAGCCGCGGCGAGAGGCCCCCGCAGGAGGGCCCGGGCGAGGCAAGCTCTTTGGGGCTGCTTCGGGCACCGGGCCTGCCAGTTCGAGCTCTTGCGACTACAGCATCGAGGCTACGAGTCAGTCCCGAGCCGCCATGACGCGCTGCCCTACACGAGTGTTGAAGGAAGGAAGGGAGGCAGGAGAGGAGGGAGGAAGGAGAGGAGAGGAGGGAGGGAGGAAGGAGGAAGGCGAGGAGGGAGAGGAGAGGAGGGAGAGGAGGGAGGGAGAAGATTGAAGTGTTGGAGGAGGGAGAGGGAGAGGAGAACGCACGTGGCCCCCTCACTCTCCCCCCCGCCCGGAGAAGGGAGTGCGGGGGTGGGTGGAGAAGGAGCGAGAACAACCGACCTCGATCCCCGATCCCTGATCCTTGGTCGACGTCGACGAATACGACGACGACGACGACGACGACGACGACGACGACGACGACGACGACGACGACGACGACTACCGAAGCCGACGACGACGACAAAGACAACGACGACGACGATCACGACGACGACAACGACGACGACGACCACGATCACGATCAAGACCGACGACGACGATGACAACGACGACGACGGCGACGACGACGACGACCGAACCACGACAATCAGGATCGACGACGACAACGACGACGACGGAGACAACGACGACGACGACGACGACGACGACGACGACGACGACGACGACGACGACGACGACGACTACCGAAGCCGACGACGACGACGACAAAGACAACGACGACGACGATCACGACGACGACAACGACGACGACGACCACGATCACGATCAAGACCGACGACGACGACAACGACGACGACGGCGACGACGACGACGACCGAACCACGACAATCAGGATCGACGACGACAACGACGACGGCGACAACGACGACGACGACGACGACGGAGACAACGACGACGACGACGACGACGACGACGACTATCGAAGCCGACGACGACGACGACAATGACGATCGAAGCCGACGACGATCACGATGACGATCACGATCAAGATCGACGGCGACGACGACGACGGCGACGACAACGACGACGACGACTACTATCGAAGCCGACGACGACGACGACCATCGAAGCCGACGACGACGACGACAACGACGACGACAGCGACGACGACGACGACGACGACCGACGACGATCACGATGACGATCACGATCACGATCGACGGCGACGACCACGACGACGACGACCGACCGACGCCAATCACGATCGACGACAATTACAACGACGACGACGACGACGACGACGACGACGACGACGACGACGACGACGACGACCGACGACGACCGACGACGACGACGACGATGACCGACGACGACCGACGACGACCGACGACGACGACGACGACGACGACGACGCCCGACGACGACCGACGACGAGGACGACGACGACGACGATGACGATGACGACGGCGGCGCGCGTCGCTCGGCATCGCCTGCGCCCGTGGTGCGAGGCCCGGGACTTGATGATGGACTTGTAAAAACGGAAAAGCCTCGGGGGGGCCGAGGGCGCCCCCGCCCCCTCCCAGGCCTGCTCCTCCTGCTCCTCCTCCTCCTCCTCCTCCTCCTCCTCCTCCTCCTCCTCCTCCTCCTCCTCCTCCTCCTCCTCCTCCTCCTCCACCTCCACCTCCTCCTCATCTTTTTTTCCAACCCCTCCTCATCCTTCTCCCCCTCCTCCTCCTCCTCCCCCTCCTCCTCCTCATCTGTGGTCGCAGGTGTCTGGTCATGGCCCGTGCGGGTGGACACCTCCATTATGCGATTAATGGCGACTGCGTGCGCCGCTCCCTCCCCGGGCACGGTCGGCACGGGGCTGATGCTCGGTGCTCCGATCGGGGTCCGTGGGTTGAAGTTGTCCTGGCGGCTGCGGCGGAGGTCCTGGGGCCCGTGGAAGAGCCGCCAGGGGAGGCACCAGACAGGCTGGGCGTTGTTCGTGGGCCTGCCCGCCATGTGGTGTCCCACGGGTCCATGGTCTGCTGCACCCAGTGTGGGGGGCAACGTGTGCTGGGGAGGAGGGGTGGAGCCCAGGGCCAGCCGCCAAGCCCCCCACTCGGGCCAACCAGAAGCTTAAGGACGACATGGTGATACGTGGCATTCACCCAACATGTGGGCCCCCTGGGCTTCGTGTTACTGAACTCGCTCATCTTTGTCTGAGGCGTCGTCTCCTCTATGCCGCCTGTCCGGCCGAGGTGTCATAGTTCCAGTGCTTTTCGGTTCTCTCGGCGGAGATGTTGGTCATTGCCCCACCAACCCCCCCCTCCTCCTCCTCCTCCTCCTCCTCCTCCTCCTCCCCCTCCTCTCCTCCTCCTCCTCCTCCTCCTCCCCCTCTCCTCCTCCTCCTCCTCCCTCCTCCTCCCTCCTCCTCCTCCTCCTCCCTCCTCCTCCTCCTCCTCCTCCTCTCCTCCTCCTCCTCCTCCTCCTCCCTCCTCCTCCTCTCCTCCTCCTCCTCCCTCCTCCTCCTCCTCCTCCTACTCCTCCTCCTCCTCCTCCTCCTCCTCCTCCTCCTCCTCCTCCTCCTCCTCCTCCTCCTCCTCCTCCTCCTCCTCGCACACCATCCACCAACACCATGTGTTTTCAACTGTCCTTGTAACAGGCTCACGGATCATAAGGTTTGTCCACCCAACCTTCTCGAGCACAGCTTCAAAGGACGGGGAGAGCCCATGTGCCGCATGTGCCCCAAACGACTCAACAGGATTGTGCCTAGGGCATCCGCAGCCCAAAACAGGCCAAGGTAGGACGGATGAGATTCCGAAACTCGGGGAGGCAGGGGCTTCCACGTGTTTGATCCAGCGAGGAGGACCGACGGCGTCGGCCCTGTGGGACTCCAGCATCATGGGGATCCCGCCTACCCAGCTCCATTATCTGAGGCTTGAGGCTGCCACCAGTCTGGGGAGGGCCCCCAATGGAACCACTGTAGGCCTCAGGATCCACAGCTTCTCCGAGGGCGTCAGGACCGACCCGCTGCTTCTGAAAATCGGGATGGTGGCGTTCCAGGTGGGCGGAAGCGGTCTGGGAGTCCTTCCCGAAGCTCCCTGGCCTGGAGAGGTGTCTTGAGCGACCCGGGGAGAAGGCAGGTGCTCTGCAGGCGCCCTGGAGGAGCGCAGCAGCCCCAGCTGACGTTGCATTGCTCAGCCTGCGCAGGCCAGGCCGGGAGGTTCGTACAGGAGCTCGCCTGGTAAGCGACCGACAAGCCGCAGTGCATCTAGGAGTATTGCCTACAGCCCCTCTTCAAGAGCTGGGAGCAAGAGGGAGCGAAGCGTGCATCAGACAGGCAGGCCCTCCACCGTTGAGGGCCGAGAGCTGAGTGGTGCCTCCCCCTGTGCTGGCCAGGTGTCGAGAGGTTGCTCAGTCGGTCCGGGGTGTCCTGGACGAGAGGGCACCACCGGACGCTGAGGTCGCCTATTTCTGGGGCCTTTGGCCGCAGGTTCAGCTACGTCGGCACGGCCTCGTCGAGAAGCCCGACTGCTGCACCTGTGGGGACGTGGATGGGCCTCCGTGGCATAGGGCCTGCGGGTGCCCAGAGAGCGAGCCTCTGCGTCGGGGACGGGGCGTCCGCGCTCCACGAGGCGAGGGCTCGAAGGGCGAAGGAGTGGGGGGGTTCGACATGCCTTCCCGGTGCCCGCGGGGCCCGAGCAGGGGAGCTGCCGACACAGCATGCCAAGCCTGGGACGTCTGTCTGCCACCCTGCTCCTTCACGGCTCGACCCTGTGGGCCGAAGCCCCTTGTGTTGCCCGAGCGGGCGGTGCCACTGTCCCTGTGGATAGGTTTGGAAATTTGGAGTCGGCGGCCTACGGTGGGACGCACAGAGACATACGAATACTATATATATGTCCTCCTTGGAGGCGCGCGTCCGACCCGACCATGAAATATACCCATTTGTAGGAGATCGTCTCCCGAGCAGTGTGGCCAGAAAGCGCCCGCCACGACGCACACACTATAAGAGTTCTCGAAGCACGCGTGGCCCCGGGGGGGGGGGGGCGGCGACGCACACATAGTGTTCGTATGTTGGGGCGACGCCGACTACGGGCTCGTCCCAGGAAGCAGCTGCCCGAAGCAAACCGCTCGGGATGCCGTGGACTTTGCCGTCTCCACGCTGCGGGTCTGTGCTGTGGCCCCGCTCGGCACTCTTCTCGGCTGTGCGCAGTCGCGGCTGGAACGCCGCGCTGCGGGCAGGGGGCTGGGTCCCGAAGCAGCTGCGCGAGGGCCCGGCTGTGGAGCCCCTTTCTGGAGTTCCCGTCCGGGGGAGGAGGGCCAAGTGCTTTAAGACGAGGGTCCACTGCGCCCGTGCCCGTGCCCTGGTCGGTGCAGGAATGACAACGCAGTGGGGGTTCAAAGGAAACGCCCACGCCGACCGCCTCGCCAGGGAAGGAGCTGCCAGGCACAGAGTTGGGCTCGCGCAGTTCCAGCTGTGGCAAGGCCTCGAGCAATGAACGTACGAGGCCGCCCGTGGGGCGGCCACGGTTCATGCTGCCCCTGAGGGTCAGGACCATGGGGGCCTCGTGAAGGCTTGCAGCCGGACCTCCGATGCAAGAGCGTCCCTCGGGAGCACGAGACGCTCAGCCTGCCAAACCGAGGAGCCGTCGATGAGTGCCCCGCCCCCCCAGATGCACAAGAGCACGCAACAGGCACGAAGACCTGCCCCCCTGGATGCACAAGACCCTGCAACAAGCACGCCGAACACCAGGCCGACCTCGACCTTGCATGATCGAGGTTCTGCGTGCAGGAGGAGGAGGAGGAGGAGGAGGAGGAGGAGGAGGAGGGCGGCGGGCGGGAAGCCGCGGCTTGCAAGATCGAGGGCACCCTCGGGGAGGGCACCTCGGGTGCCCTCCCCGAGCCGACCTCGAGCTTGCACCCCGGCCCGACCGCGCTCGGCCCTCGGTGCGCCTCCCAAAGGAGACCCCACGCGGACGAGGCCCCGCCTGCGGATAAGGCCCGAGCCCCCATGGGCGCCTCGAGGAGCACCCCTCGCACCAGCTCGGGTACGGGGCGGGGTCGGGGCGGGAGGAGTTGCTGTCTGAGTCTACAGCAGTGTCTACACGTCGGTCGGAAGAAGTAGGTAAACACATGAAGTAGAAAGGCGGATAAAGTAGGTTGGGTTCAGCCCCTCCCAGAGAATAATAAAACAAAGCAGAAGCATACCGATTCTCGAAGTAGGAAGGCGCCAGGAGTAGATTGGGACCAGAAAACCAATAAATACCTACTTTCAACGACCGGCGTGTATGTGTGTCTTATGTTGTGTGTGCGCAGGCCACCGTCCCTGGGAGGGGCCAACCTCCTCCGGGCTGTGGACTCGGGAGTGCCCCGCCTGTGTCCTCGGTTCTGTTGTGTTGCCGCTGCGGCGCCATCGCGACTGACCAGCAAACTCGACCCTGGCCTCGAGCGTTGTTGTCAGGCTGGCCGAGCGAAGGTAGGTGGATCCGACCAGCTGAGGCGGACCAAAGAGGGGGGACTTCCCCCCACCGGCGCGAGGGTCAGAGATTTGAAGCCCGACCGCCCGCACGGCGCGCTTCCAGCGACGCGGGCTCCGCTCGAAGAGCAAGCGCCGCCGCACGCCCAGCCACTGAGCCTCCGCCGCCGCAGGCCGCTGTTCAGCAGGCAGGTGGCGGCTTGGACAGGGCAGATGGTGAGCGTTTTCTTGTTCGGCGTTTCGACATTGGGCGGATAGGGGGGGGGTTCTGGCTCCGGACCTCTGATTGATGCGACTGCTCGCAACGGTGCGTTCTATGCGGGAGGCTCCACCTGCTCGAGACAGGCGCAAAAGACAGCCAAGATCTACTCCATGGGGGGGAGGGAGGAGGAGGAGGAGGAGGAGGAGGAGGAGGAGGAGGAGGAGGAGAAGGGAAGGGGGAGGAGGAGGAGGAGGAGGAGGAGGAGGAGGAGGAGGAGGAGGAGGAGGAGGAGGAGGAGGAGGAGGAGGAGGGGGGAGGAGGAGGGGGGTGCGAGGGCCCGCGCCGACAGGCAAAAGTACGAACAAGAACGCGCTGACATGGGGGCGGGCGGGCCGAGGTGCTTCGGGCGCTTCGGCTGCGGGAGAGGGAGCTCGAACTGGTCCGTGCACTCGGCCAGCGAACTCCCGAGCAGCGAGGCGACGAGCGCTCCGCTGATGAGTGGGGGTCCGACACCGAGCGTTTCTGGTTGGGGGGCCCAGGCCCCGCGTTGAGCGCACACGCATGTCGTTCCATTCCATTCCATTCCATTCCATTCCATTCCATTCCATTCCATTTCATTCCATTCCAGTCGAGTCCAGTCCAGTCCACCTCCTCCTCCTCCTCCTCCTCCTCCTCCTCCTCCTCCACCTCCTCCTCCTCTTCCTCCTCCTCCTCGTCCTCCTCGTCCTCCTCGTCATCCTCCTCCTCCTCCTCCTCCTCCTCCTCCTCCTCCTCTGCAGCATCAGCAGCAGCAGCGTCATCATCATCATCATCATCATCATCATCATCATCATCATCATCATCATCATCA